AGCGCAACCTGTGGAGAGTGGTCAGTTCATCTATCGTGGGCGGGTTATTTCTTCCGAAGACTACTCAACGAACTTCAGCATTACTGATCCGGTGTTCCCACAAGAATCGAGCAATGCTACGAAGACATCGATAGTCAAACGTCCTCGGCGCGCAGCAGCCAGGTATCTGATCCGTATAGTAATATGGAACGCACCGCAGCATTGTAAACTCGACACTTGATGTACAAATGGATGTCAGCGCATGTCAAACTATGGAGCGGAATTATTTTCTGCATAACCACTGGGTCAGATCCAGGGAGAGCAATGTCGTCTGCACACTCGATATCTGTGAGCGGGCGCCCCAGGAGCACTTCGATCCCACAGGCATTAGAGGCTGGCAGTGAGTCTTCCATGATCGTATCAATGACGAAGTTGAAAGCAGAGGCGAAAAAGGACAGCCCTGTCTGACACCACTCGATGTGATGAAGTCAGGCGAGAGCTTCCCGTAAACCGTCACATGGCCGCAGGAAGTTGGCGTACAGCGCCTGAAGCAGGGTCAAGAATTTATGGGGGGCACGTTTGCTCCGCAGACATTGTCATTGTGCCTCACGGTCCAGATGCTTTCAGATGAAGAAACACAACCAGTGTTGGTTGCTGGACGAAGTGTCGCTGCTCCAGAATTTGTCGGAGGGTGAAGATATGACCGGTGCATCCTCTTGCAGGACGGAACGTAGCCTGGTTTTCACGGATCTGTCTCTCCCCGTGCTCAGTCAACCTTCGAAGGATAAGGCTAAAGAGCACTTTTGATGCCGCAGCTAACAGGCTGATGCCACGGTAGTTTTGACACAGCGTCCTCGTACCCTTTTTGGAGATAGGGATAACTGTCAACATGCCCCATTCTGCAGGTACCTTCTCTTTGTTCCATATAGCACCAATAAGCTTTGTCAGATGAATTGTCAGGGATTTTCCGCCTTTTTCGAAGAGGGATGGATACATACCGTTCGATCCCGGTGCCTTCTCACGTTTTTAGTACGGATATTTTGTACTTTATTTCTCATTATCATCATCATCAAAGACAGCAACATCAGTGTTGGCACTGATGCTTCACTACCGTACACTAAGAGACTGGACCTTACCGTGGTGTGGCGGTTTGTATATCTCGGGGACCCATTGAGCTATACTGGGGAGTGTCCGCACGATGCTCACAGAGTCTCTTATACCAGGTTGGTCCCTGGGTAGGGGTCCGACGAACATAGTCTCCTGGCCCTCCAGGTTGGGGGGTTGGAACGTGTATGGCGACGTGTTCCGTAAAAATAGTAATGTACTTGCATTTCCAGCGAAACACTGCTGCCTTTCGGTTAGGCTTTTGAGCCAAAGGTTTTGGTTGAGGACCCTAATCGTCCTCCTGTCTAGATGTGGGCGCCCTGGCAGCATCACATCCCTCGTACAACCAACACTTTATTTCTTCAGACGGGCGATCAAGATTTAGATTCCATTCGACCGAATGCACTATCTCCACAGGTTGTGTTGCAGAAGACCAGTTGAACTGTTCTTCGAAATGTTCGGCCCATCTTTCCAGCCGACGTTTTCGCGAGTGAATTAATGAGCCATCTTTTTCACTTATCGTTCCGCTTACCGTTGCTTTACTGGGGTCAGTCGATCGTATCAGTTGATATAGGACGCGGCTGTGTCCGGCAGCAAAAGTCTTCTCTATCTCCCGAGCTCCCGATGTCCACCAGGCCTCTCTCTCTCCCTTCAGACTCTTCACCGTTTGGCACTTGAGGGCTTTGCGTGCGCCGTCGTACTCCTTGCCTGCTGGTATAGCTTTCCTGGCATCAATCATGGATAGCGATCTCGACGACATCCAGCGGTCTTATGGTCGAATCGGAGAAGTCGGACTGACAGCACTGAACGCCGCTGACGTAGCTCCCTTAACATTTTGCCACGCTTCATCCACGTGCTCACTACCACCACAACTGTGGAAAGTTGTTGGGCTAGCTCAGATCGATACTGTTGATCTATGGCGGTTCTTCGCAGATAGTGGATTGGCATGCTTCTTGCTGACTCGCGGGGACCTGAATAGAAGCCGACTGTCAGACGTGCTCACACTGGCGCGATCGGGATCAGGTGGTGTGCCCCACAAGGAACGACGATCTTGAGCTGTGGCTCTCCACTGGTGGCTGCTGGCCACGTGATCCAACTAGATTCACAGTTGGTTTGCATTTGATGGCCGCCAGGTAAGGCGATGCGAACGTTTAGGTTGAAAGTTCCTACTTGCCAGAAACAGTTTATGATCGGCACACAACTGGAATCGCTTTCCGTTGTCTGTGCGGCGAGCATCGACTCCGACTCAAATTTGCAACGGGTACTTCCCTTAAAGGATGCGCCAAGCACCAAAAGCTGTGTTGCGTACCTGATCATCGTTTTACGAAGAGAGTGCTGTTTCCCATGCCCTACTCAGAGCGGTGGAAGCAGAGAGGTGGCCAAACCTTGACTTGGCAGAAGGGTATGAAGGAGATTACGAAACGGTTGGGTGCTGTCGGTGCTACTCGCCTTCCAGGATGGGGACCGCGTGATCCTCACTGTGCCTGGTTGGAGACACTACAAGGTATGGCTGCCAACCGATGTCAGTGGCGTTCTTGTTGTCAGTTTCTGTCCAAATTGCCTGAATGAATGTCTGGAGGTGTAGGCACCTCGGAATGATTGTGTTAAGCTAGTACTAAGTCCCTCCCCCATCCACCTTTATTCTTTTCTTTACAATAAGGCTTTCAAATAAGTTATGGTTGTACGGCAGTGAAGGATTGGTGTTGAACACTGATGTCATGCTGTCGATGATGATGATTCCAAGGAGCTCAGCCTACCTACTTGAGCATTCGTATCGCCTGCAAGGATCACATTGTCAATGCTTTTTACCTGATGAATGACCCAAAAGGCAGTCAGAGGATGTAGGGCTTTGCTCAGGGACCCTGCCCCTAGCCCCTGACTCAAAAGTCTGACTCGCGAGACAACGGACAGTGGGGCTTTCTTTGGGGACCCTAAATAAAAATCGTTCAGCTGTAGCGCCCTTTCGGTGCCTAGCTGCCATGCCACCCGAAGGAAGCACGAGGGCTGGGATACTGTCAGGTTGCCCAAGCCTAGACAGGGGAAGTCGAGTGGCGGAGGTCGGGTTCGAACCACGGACCTTCCAGTCAGTAAATTCGCGCTCTAACCACTTGAGCCATCTCGCCCCTTTGGGGACCCTGCCCGGAGCCGATGACTCAGCTGCATGGGTCTAGCCTAACCTGAGGGCCCAGGGAATAGGGCATTGCTTTCTCATTCCTGATGCGGATGCGTACAGCAGGTGCCCTTTGGGCAGCACCGTACGCTTCGATTTTAAGAGTATTTCGACCGTATTGAGTAACGTACCGGCGATTATGGTCAACCTTTGGGTGATTGGAGTGTACTGTTTTCACGGTCGACATTTTCTCACCTGTCCTTCCTCGAGGGAAGACAGTATCGATGCTTCCGTAAATGTGGGCATGCTGGTCGTCTAGGGTAAACACCTTACTGTCCTCACACTCCTGTCGCAGAGGACAGTACGACTTAGCCTCCAGACCGCCTCGTAGCACGATTACTCGTAGTACGGGGTCTCGCTGATCTTGGTCCTACTGCTCCCATTTGGCCTTTCTGGCATGGCTGCACCTTGTGGAACGCAGTTTCAACCAGTTTATCCAGCGGGATCATTGCAGCACTCAAACCTGACCACCAACTCGAAGTGGCAGCTTTAGGTCGAGTGGCAGAGAAGTATGAAAGTGATTAAGAAAAGTCGGGTGCAATTCGTCTTCTGTCGTCATCAACGCCACCATGCTTGATAACAATACATGTACTACTTGCCTCTGGGTCTGCGTGATTCCCATGTGCATGGTTGGAGAAGCTGCAGGATATGGTTGCTGATCGATGTCAAGGGCGTCCCTGCTTTTATTTCCTGTCCAGTCTGCCTGAACGAGTGTAGGCACCTCGAAGAGACTGTGGCAGACTAGCACTTATCCCCTCCTCCATCTGCTTTCTTTTCTCTTTCAAAAGGCTTCCAAATTAACTAACTTGTACGGCAATGTACGGCAATCAGTGTTCAACACGGGTGTTACGTTTTCGATGATGATACCGATGATGGGTCAATCTTGCTGACTTTCTTGTTACAAAATAGTACCTAGATGTTCATATGAGTGCTGTTGGAAGGTGTCTTGATTTTAGGACCTTACCTGAGTTCCCACTTCTTCCCTTTCTCTCGATTTTCCACCTGAGCATTCATGATACCTTGCTTCCCCAGTTGCAATAATAGTGACGTTGGCACTTAAGAGGAGTTCATCCTAACAGACCTCATGAGATATGTTTAGTTTCTTTATCCCTTCTGTCACTATTTGATGTGGCTTTCCATTATTTTAAATTCATTTTTGTAAGTAAAAAAAAAGAAAAAAAGCGTTCAGCTGTAGCACTCTTCCGGTGCCTAGCCGCCATGCCACCCGAAGGGAGCACGAGGGCTGGGATACTGCCAGGTAGCCCAAGCCTAGACAGGGGAAGTTGAGAGGCGGAGGTGGGACTCGAACCACGGACCTTCCAGTCAGTAAATTCGCGCTCTTACCACTTGGGCCATCTCGCCCAAGTAAGTACTGTTAAGAGGATTGTAGTATGCAACAGAACCTCATAGGTATTTACCAAACTTGCAGTGTTTTGTCCTTACTTCAGAACCGACTTTATCTAATCTCACTTTTTTTCGATATGCCTTGTAGGATTGCTCATGTATTAATACTACCAGCTATATTGGTTCTTCCCAAAGCCCGAATGTGATGTTTTTGAACCTAATGTGCGGAGATAATCTTGGAGAAATGGCTGAAGTTAGGCAACGTCCAATGCTGGAGTTTGATTGTGGTGTGTCTGTGAGAGTCAGCTGGCTGATTTAGCAGCTTGATGGGATTTATTCTGTCACGTTGGTGGTCCAGTTACTTGAGTAGGAAATCCTCAAACAAGAAGGCAAAGGACACCAAATGAAAATCGGCTATATTGCAAACAAACCAATCGAAGAAAGAGCGCTGATGCTTAGTTGGCTACAACAGAGAGAAAATGAAATCTCAGTTAAATATTACAAAGGGTAGGATTGTTCATTGGAACCTGACCGTCCTAAAAATTGCTTTTTGAGTAAACTTTCGAAGACCGTGGTCCTTATGACACAAATGCCTTTCCAATGTTTCATCTTACGAAATTGTTATTTCCTCAATTTCTCGGTTGTCATTGTGTCGTCTGCATTTGTCATTGCTGGTTGCCTACAATACAGTCTCGTTTTCATCCTGTTTAGCTCTGATCCCATCATGGAAACTGTACTGGAACAGCAACGACGCTATCACGAGGAACGTGAACGTCTCATTAATGAGCTCACAAAGGAAATGCTTTATAACGGCGTGACAGTATGTACTCCTTTTTGCTGTCTTAATCTTTTAAATCCAGCATAAGGAAAAGCTCAATTCAGAATTCCGCGTCCGTCTCATGTATGACGTAAGTTTCACTTTTTTCGTACCAACTGCTTTGTTGCAGCGTTATTTGGAATTGACCAGGGAGTTGCGTGACTTATATGATGACAAAGATGGGTAAGTCATATACGGAACTTGACACATTTTGTTCAAGTAATTAACATCAATTGTTCGGTGAGCTGCGTGCCATATACTATCATTAACTACCAAATTTTTGTTTACGAAAGTCGATACCAGCCCATCAATTGGATGAGCACTCCAGCCTAGTCCATCACTTTCGTGACGACTCATTTAATGACGGGTTTTAAATAACAAGGATCTTTTTCTTAGAAGCAAAGTCCACGTTCCAGCCCTCTCCACAACAGTTGGGCTCGTTAATAACTTCTGGCGAGCACCCTTGAAGGATGCGTGTACCCTGGTTTATGTGAATTTGTGGGGTCTATCCTTAGTGGCCAATTTGGTGACCCGATGAAGCTTTTGTGTCAAAAGCGAAACATCGCCCGAATAAAACTACTGATTGTTTACCAAGCTCTTCTGAAATGATGAACCACATACCATTGATCACGGCATTGCGTGGGCGTGCATATCAATTCACATGCTCTCGGGGATACATTGGTTGAGGCATGTTCATTCTGTCAACCATCTGCAGTGTCTCCATAGCCCCACAGTATCAATCTGGGTTGACTGGAAACCACTTATAACTGAGCAGTCACAATGGTAAGAATGATGATTTATAAGGCGCCTGGAAAAGGATGAAGAAACCCTGATCACAACTTTTGAAATGGTCTTTTCTCCAGTTTCTGGCGTCTTATTCGTGCACCCCAGTGGACACTGCCTGTTATCACGATCGGAAAGTCTTAATGAAGTCGAGATAACCATACTGACAGATGACTGATCGCGCGCACACATCCTCAAACACTGAATAGTGAGAGGCCTGAACATTGTGGATTACGCTGATGGATAGCGAAGTCCCGCGGAACGGAGAAAGTTTTAGCCACAAGGAATAGCCGCATCCTATTCCAGCTGATCTTATCAGATGGTTTGAAGGGGTTGGTATTAGCGAAGCGACCTGCGAAAAGGATGGAACCTCACTCCTGACAAACTTATTCTTGAACAATGGGCTGAACGCTTTGAAGAACAACATCAAATTAACCTGTGGAAGGACCATATGAAACCTAGTGAACACCGGTCGCCCACCGATAGCAGAAATCCATATTCATTAAATAGTAATAGTAATAATAATAATAATAATAAATCCTTCAGCTGTAACGCCCTTTCGGTCCGTAGCTGCCATTTCTCCCGAGGGATACCCAATACTGCTAGGTTTACCAAGCCTAGACAAGAGTAGTCTAAGTACGTGGATTGAGTTGAGTTGTTTAAGTTCGGACCACGGAATTCCTAATAATAATATAATAATAATAAATCCTTCAGCTGTAACGCCCTTTCGGTTCGTAGCTGCCATTTCTCCCGAGGGATACACAATACTGCTAGGTTTACCAAGCCTAGACAAGAGTAGTCTAAGTACGTGGATTGAGTTGAGTTGTTTAAGTTCGGACCACGGAATTCCTGGTCAGCTAGTTCATCCCTTAACCACGAAGGCATCCCAGAGTATTTTCTTTGCTTCAGGAATATTGTGCTACTAGTTCATAAGTTTTACATCGTGTACTGTTCACATGCTGTGGGCCTCTTGTTGCTGACCTGGCGACTTCACTCCAAAATATCTGAAATACAGAAGGAATATCGACAGAATGGAGCGCCTCGATGGTGACTCCCTTATTAAAAAACGTTGCGTGAACATCTTTCAGAAAACTGTGGGTCATCAGTCTAGTTGACATGGCCTCCAGGATTATCCCTGTCATCTTACGCAGATCGGTCCATCATCAAGAGGGCCAGATTCTAGTGAATTAAGCTGAGGATTGCTCTGGTAGTAGCTGCATCAATCGTATCTTCATTTTTCGACCGGTAATGCGACTACGGTGTTCCTTCCGGTGATTGATTGATTTGGAAGCCGCTTTTGCTTCCGTCGGAACTGTGGAACTGTGATGGTATCTGGTAACGAAGGGTGTTCATTCTAAATTCTCGTCTCTTATAAAGCTTCCGTATGTCTTCAATGGACGTGTACGTCTACCATAGCCTCTATTCTGAGTCCACTGCATCCCTTTAACTTCGTACTCGGTGTACTGCTGGAGTCTTTACCTGCCTCCCCCCTGCCCCCGCCTCCCCCCCCCCGGTCATTCGCTGATAGAGTGTGCCGACGATATTGTTATTCGTGGATTAGATCTCTTAGATGATCTAAATAATTCTAACGCACAGTTCGGCATGCGCGGTGTATAATGATGCTGAAAGACTGGGTGAGATCAGACGTTGACGTCATGTTTGCAGGTAAACTTATCGATGTGTTGAATAAGTTCATCTGTCTGGGCAGCTGCATAAGCCTCGGTAAACTGGTGAAGGGTGAAATCACATCCTAGTTAGAAAGGCTAACGTAGCGTTTGCCAACTTCTGACATTATGGGTATTGACTTAACATCAACCCGTCTGCCGAGAGTAGAGTTTGTAATTCTACTGCTTGTTCTGTCCTACTATATGGAGCAGAGACGTGTCCGCTGCCTGCGGAAGATTTTCGGAGACTGTTTGGCCATCAGACATTAACGTCATGTTTGCAGGTAAACTTATCGATGTGTTGAATAAGTTCATCTGTCTGGGCAGCTGAATAAGCCTCGGTAAACTGGTGAAGGGTGAAATCACATCCTAGTTAGAAAGGCTAACGTAGCGTTTGCCAACTTCTGACATTATGGGTATTGACTTAACATCAACCCGTCTGCCGAGAGTAGAGTTTGTAATTCTACTGCTTGTTCTGTCCTACTATATGGAGCAGAGACGTGTCCGCTGCCTGCGGAAGATTTTCGGAGACTGTTTGGCCATCGGTGTCTTCCGGTGAGAGCATCGGATCAGTAATGCCGAAGCATGCCAGATGGTTTTCCGGAAAGCCCACTCCCTCAGTCATATTCCATAGACTATCCTAGGTAGGCCACATACTCTGTATGCCGGAGGACCGCTTGCCTCATAGAGCCCTCTTCGCCCAGCCTTTCGCGCCGCATGGAGACGACGGAGAGGTGGACAGTCCATGACTTAGCAATCATATCTGGATAAACTCAATCTGTTATTAGTGGGCCAAATCTTAAATTGTGTGAAGTAACCGACGGAGCATTTAAAGCATGTGAGAACTGACACCCTATGAACTGCGTGGAAACTTAGAGGCCTGTTGATAAACGTGACTAAGGTTCGTCACCACTATTCGGAGCTGCAAACATTGTTATGTTATTGTTACTATTAGCAGTAGTAATGTCACAATTACTGTTGTTATTGCTGTCATAACTGTCTTCCACTTTTTCACCATTAGCATGCGGAAAATGGACATACAAGCCTTGTCTGGCCCAAACGAGTTTAACGAATTTTACGATCGGTTGAAACAGGTCAAGGACTTTCACCGAAAACATCCAGACGAAGTTGTTCACACACCCATTCTAATACATTCTCTCTTAGATATGTGTGCCCATGTCCACGGAGTTCGAAAAGTACAAAGAAATGCGCGAAAAACCAGAGGAAGCAAATGCAACGCTAATTGAGTTTTCCGATGAAGAAGGCTATGGCAGATTCTTAGATTTGCATGATATCTACAAAAAATACTTGAACGTGAAAGGTGTACCAGTATGTCCCCTCTCAGCATATCTCATATTCTGATGTAGCGCATCGATTACCTTACTTATATATCCTTCTTTGACCGACTATACGACATTGCTCGGGACAAGAAAGGGATTGCCTATAAAACGTAGGTTTCGCCTGTTTCGTCGTCACCTTCTTCCCAGGTACCTTGAAGATTTGTTGGCTTATCTGGAAGATTTCCTGTCTCGTGCACGACCAATCGTGGATTTGGACGAAGTAAGCTTGGCTGTCGTGTTTTCTACAATTTGCTCCAGTAGTTACTTGTGTGAGACATACGTCACACTAGAAGACAACCTTTAATGGGAGTTCGGGCGACTTTTTTTTAACACAAGAGGAAGGCAGCCATGACTCTTGCGGACGCCATGCCCTGGAATTCTCAACCATTTACTTATATCAAAGGCTAAAAATAGTGCTTACTGAGTTGCACATAAGCTACGTGGAGATTGTCGATGAAACATGGTGCTTCACTTAGCATAGTTATCTGAACACAATAGAAAAACCCTTACTAGAAAAATGGATGCAACCTTTATTGAGAATTGACCCTTTCTCGGAAAATTAGTACATTGTGTCCGTTTGCGAATGCTCCTCTGGGCATTCCTGAAGAGCGAGCGTTCTTCGGAGAATATTCTTTTCGCTATCGTAGTACCAGCGGGCATGCGTCGTCTAGCACTATGTCAACTGGATGTAGCTAGGCACAGTAATAAGAAAAGGTGTTTCTATCCAAGATGACTGAAAAGAGTTGGCTGCCCTGACGATGGTACCCAGAGGACACTTGTTTTTTATCTGAACGGGTACGATCAACGACTTGAGAACGGGCGCACAAATCCCCAGCTATGACGCGAGCCCAACCACACACACACACACAGAGCGGACCGGACCTTCGCAGGGGAACTTTTACTGCCTCAGCTAAAGGCGAAAAGCAGCGGGAGTATAGTTGAATACATATTTAGAGCGACCTTGGGGAAAGATAAATTCATTAGCATACACAGTGAAAGCGGCCAATATGAAAGAAGTGCTGTCCTTTTGGAATAATGTGCAATATGGTGGAAAAGACGCGAAATTTAAAATTTGAAATTTTTACAAAACAAATTTAGAAATAACTCAACAACTAAACGGTTTTCGGGGATACTGATATTTCTAACAACACTCTTTTTCTTGGCTTGGTTGAGGCTGATGCTATGATTGGCGTTCTGCAGCTCCAAAACTGGTTCGGTTCCCCAGGGGTTTGCGCATGAGGACTAATTTCATTAGCCTCACTTAATGACAGTTCTATCACATAAAAATATCTGCCACATAAAAGATTAGTATTCTGTGATGTCGATCCTGATAACCGTTCTCTTTTTATAGGAAACGAAAGATGCACTTGCGAAGTTCGAAACGGAGTGGGCACAGGGAACTTTCCCCGGTTGGGGACGTGAAGCTGCCCCAGCTCTGAGTCATGGCGGGGCTCATCTCGATCTGACTGCTTTCACTACCTGGGAAGAGTTGGCCTCCTTAGGGTTGGATCGTCTAAAGTCGGCTTTGCTGGCTTTGGGTCTCAAGTGTGGTGGTACTTTAGAAGAGCGAGCTAAACGACTATGGTCAACAAAAGGCAAGGCTTTGGAGGAGCTTCCGGCTGAGATGTTTGTGACAAAGCAACGAGCAACCAAGGGCTTTGCAAAGACAGCCGCCTGGGGTCACATGCCCGCGTGAGTTACCGAGTCCCTTTTTTATCGACAAATAGTTGTCCTCTGTTAGTTGAACTTGTTCTGAAGATCGGTTCCTTTTTTACAGCGCGCTTAGCGAAAAACATCGGCAAGTTGCTGTCCTGGAGGCACGAATTTATCGCTTGAGTGAACTACTCAAAGAAATCCGAGAGGCAACGATTGAAAATGTGCAAAGGCGCCAGGCGCGTGTTGGTTTTGAACGAGACGAAGATGATGCGGATGCAGATAAGGCTGGGAATGCAGATGGTTCCGGAAACGCCGGCGGTGACGATGAGGAAGATGACATTCCTTACAATCCAAAAAATTTACCTCTGGGTTGGGATGGAAAGGTAGGTCTTTTTTATTATTTTGGGAGTGCTTCGCAGATTCGATGTAGGAACTGGTCAGTGTAACAAGTTATCTGTTACGCTGCGCTAATCACGGAACCGTGTGTGTGTTGCATGCCCCTTTAATTGTGTGATGCAACGAGATACGATGGCGTCACCGGTTTTGCGGGTAAGCAACGGGTATATGACCTATCTTGACAAGCGTTATCGTCCTCCTCTTGTGCCATTCCCAAGTGCCGAGTGATCCAGTAGGTCTCTTGATTGTAGCCAATCTGAACAAACTGACTGAACTTTCGCCCTCCTTTACTGTTAGCATGAGACTGCTTTGTGTTAGGCTACCGCCCACTGTGCGCCTCCGGCTAATGTAACCAGTCTTGTATCATGACACTGATTGGACAACTCATAAACAACTGAATTCACCGACTAATTCACCGCACAGGCTGGTCCAACAAATCACCTCAATTCGAACACGTCATGCGTCAGTGGTGACGCGTTGTGGTCAACACTAAATCGTTTTAATAAACGTCACTTGACTAATCCTGATACTCAGTTACCCAACTTGGTGAACATATCGGTAGTGCCTGCATGATGGATTCCAGTCCGGACGGTTTGCTTGAAGAATTACTCTTCAAGGTCTGGTTAGTAGCGCTACCTCTGTTGGGGATATCAATATCCCCCCAAAGTGCCTGCATATTCCAGTCCGGACGGTTTGCTTGAAGAATTACTCTTCAAGGTCTGGTTAGTAGCGCTACCTCTGTTGGGGATATCAATACAATATCAAAAAACTCTGTATTTTTATGTGTGGTAGCGAACTTCCGGCATCTTCAAGGTCAAACTGTGAATATATATATGCATTGTCATTTTTTCCCATGATCACCTGTTGATCGCGTGTTGTTGGATCATTAAAGTTTGTGTCCGAGGTTTTTCGTCTTCTTACTATCCGCCGTGCTAGGAGTCTGGATCAAGCAACATAGTTGGGGATAGAGTATTGCCACAATCCGCATATCATATTGTTTGCTCGCTGCGTGACCGAACCGTAACATATTTGGCGACGCAAGATGGAGGCAGAACAACTCAAAGTAATGTTTGAGCAACAACTGCAACTCATCAAAGTACTTACGGAGCGACCATCAACTACATCTTTGGCTTCACCGGCGGCGTCGAGCGTCCCACAGTCGGTTGATGGAATCGCTGGCAGTATCAACGAATTTTGCTATGAACCCTCAGCTGGCATAACGTTTGAT